TGCAGAGGTGCTTAGGTGGATGACTAAATTTGTTTTAGCAAGTACCGAAGAGATGACACAGGGAAAACATGAAACCTGGGCCAGTTCTCGAGGAATCCACCACCCTGGTCATGTCACATGTCCAGTGTGAACGGGCAAAAGGTGTTTCCTTAAGCCTCAGCAGACTGCCTTTCACATTTGGTGTTGCTGAGGTGATAATGTGGCCTGTGGTTCGTGACGCATCTTCCTTCTAAGAAGCCTTCGGTTCCCTGCCAAGGTCTCTGTGAGCCTTGGGCAGATTCCCTTCTTCCATTTCCCTCTATTCCAAGGCCAACATTTCTCATCCTGTCACACAACCAGGAAAGTCATGACACAGCCTTCGGCCTGGCCTGCCAGGCACTTAGCCTGAGGTTTGCAGAGCCCAGGGGTAGTGCAGCCAACAGCCTGAAGCTCTAGATCTCTCCTGGAGCAGCTGGGTGTGGTGGTGCACACTCTGAATGCCAGCACTGGGAGGCAGAAGCAGGTGCATCTCTGGGAGGCCAGTTTGGTCTCCGTGGTGAGTTCCAGATTCAGAATTATGTAGTGGGACCCTGTCTCAGAAGGAGGAGGAGGAAGAGGAAGAAGAGAAGGAAGAAGAGGAAAGAGAAGGAGAAGAAAGAAGGAGGAGGAAGAAGAGAAAAGAAAAGAAAAAGGAGAAGAAAAGAAGAGGAGGAGGAAGAGGGAGGAGGAGGAGGAGGAGGAAGAAATCTCCATTGGCACATCCATCTTCTAGCACAGAACAATTGTATTGGGTTTTCTTATTTTGTTTCTGGTGTTGGTGATCTAACCCAGGGCATCACACCTTTCTCAGCACCCTTTCTAACACTGAGCTGTACCTGCACATCTCTCTGGGGGGGTCTCAGTTGTGCAGAGCACCCTTGGGAGAGGCAGCCCGAAGACTGTAAGAGGAGAGTAGGTCTGAAACTGGGGCTACTGTGTTGTGGGTTGGTGGTGGTAGTTTGTATAATCTCTCTCTCCCTCCCCCCCCCCTCTCTCCCTCCCCCCTCCCCGAGGTACATGTGTGTGTGCTCTATTGCACTTGCCTGTACAGCAGGGTAGAGGCCAGAGGTTGATGTCTGTTTATCTCCCTCATTCACTCATTCCTCCACTGTTGACTTATTTACGTAGGTAGAGGGTCTCCCACTGAACCTGGAGCTCACCGGTTTGGCTCAGCTGGCTAGCTGAGCTCCAGGAATCCACCTGTCTCTGCTCCCCCCTAGTGCTGGGATTATGGATGTGGGTGCTACCGTGCCCAGGTTTTGACGTGGGTGCTGGGGATCCAAACTCAGGTCCCCATGCTTCATAGCAAGTACTGTACCTGCTGAACCATCTTCCCAGAATCCCTGCTTTAAAAAACAAAACAAAACAAAAAAAACAAAAAAACAAATAAACAAAAATACCCTATTGGGAGTTATAAGAAACCATTCTTGTATTAGGTCATGCTGGGCAGTGATGGCATACTCTTTTAGTCCCAAAGCAGACAGAGATGGATCTCTGTGAGTTCGAGGTCAGCCTTATCTACAGAGCAAGTTTCAGGACAGCCGGGGCTACACAGAGAAACTCTGTTTTGAAAAACAAACAAATAAACAAAAGGCCAAGGCTAGATTTGATCCAACCCATAGGTGCAGTTAGGTATCTCCTGTACCAGGTGAATCTACACAAGATCCAAATTTGGTAAAACATAAATGCCTTCCCCCCCCTCTCTTTTTCTTGATTTTGTTCTTAAATGCTTTAATCACAGACAAAATGAAGTCATCTCCAACAGGCCCCCAATGCCTCCAATGGCTCTGCCATGTACCAGCTGCGCAGTCTTAGGCTACATAACCTCCTCTGCGTGTCAGTAAAATGGGGAAGCTGCTGGAGCCTTTACAGAGTCCTGTGAATTGTAAATGAGTTAGGACAGGACAGGCACACGGGAAATCCACAGCACACGCCAGGCTGTTTATTTGTTAGGGAGAAAAACAAAACAAAACAAAAAACTCTGGGAAAACAGCAGCAAGTTTCAGTCTGTTGTATGTCCAAGATGATGAAATGCCCAGATGCGTCCGCTCAGCGGGGCAAGCCCCTAAAAGTCTGTATCCCACAACGCTGATGGCACAGGACGGCTGCCAGGTGAGAGCCAGCCGCCCTGGCCTTCACTCTGGGGCTTGAGCCCTGTCAGCTGGACTGACTGCTTCCCCTTCCTTCCCCCTGGGGCTTGGATGCTAGGGAAGAGGTTGCACTCACTCCCTCAGACAAGAGGATGTCCAGGTGACCCAGAGGTCAGGAGGGGCAAGTGAGAGGTGAGCCATAGAGAGGCTGTTGTTAGGTGGGCAAGGATCAAGCTACACCAAAGCCTTAGAGTCCCTGCTACGCATATGTGCCCTGCCCAATATAGCTCCTCTTTGGTCCAGGGGTGTGGCGATTGGTGGTGTGGCTGTGTTGGGCTCGAACTGAGGAAGGAGGTTGGATGTGCTTGTCCCATTCTGCCTCTTCAGCCCCAAAGGGTCACTGCGTCTCTACTTCGAGCCTGAGCGGCTGGGTAGTGGATGGAGCTTCATTTGAATTTGGAGAGAAGCAACCACAGATCCGATTTCAAGACGGTGCTCCTCATCACCCTGCTTCTTCTGGTCTTTTCTAATATCCGCCTAAACTGGAACCTCCCAGAGGGCTTTGGGGCGGGGGGCGGGGGCGGGGGACACTCAGCAGGACTCTGCGAGGACCACCTCAGCTCACACCCAATTTCTACCACCTGCCTGTGAAGGGCAGGGAAGCTGGAATCTGTGGGTGTCTCCAGGACAGACCTGGGTGTCTCCCTGACATCAGAAACAGACACTTGCTAGAATCCCACTAGAGCTCCACCAAGAAGGAAAAACTAAAACTAAAAAATCAACATTTCCCCCACAGGAGGCAGAATTTCCCTAAGCCAAAGAGAGCTAGGAACATTGAGAATTTGTAGACTTGTGCAAAGATTTCGCCCTGCCTGCAGGGGGCCTGCTTTTCTCCGGTCTAGCTGGACGAGGGGTCAAATCCTACTGCGTTCTGTAGAACCCCCTCTGGACTGTTGTTTTAAAGCCTTCATTGGTTACTTCCGGAAGAGTGGGCTGGAGGTGTAGCTCAGAGGGAAAGCATTTGTTGTCGAAAGCGAGGCCCTAGGCACAGCACGGCAAAGCAAAAAGCACTGGGAGCGGGCTAGGCAGTTGGGGTGGGGAGGACTTTTTAAACGGGCTGCAGCAGGGCATCCAATTCACAAGCAGAGAGACATATTTGAACTGGGGAGGTGCCTTTGTTGCCAAATCAGAAATACTGCTTTATTTTTATTTATGTATTTATTTATTTTTGAGACAAGAGTCTCTCTGTGTAGCCCTGGCTGTCCTGGAACTCACTCTGTAGTCCAGGCTAGCCTCAAACTCAGAGATCCACCTGTCTCTGCCTCCTGAGTGCTGGGATTAAAGGCGTGGGCCACCACCGCCCAGCTACATGACTTTATTTTTAATCACAGGTTCCTTCTCCCTCCCTGGACAGTGGAATCACAGTCATTCAGCTAGCATGGCAGTCTCAGCCCTTATCAGAACCCTCTTTATACATCTGGCCTCTGACAGTCTGACTCACGCCAGGCATCCCTATTTTAAGAGTAGCCAAGTATTTAAAGGAAGATGTATTTCTTCATCTCTAAAGCCAGCTACCTTTAGCTCCAGCTCTGACCAATGCCAACACACCATTAACACGATTTTGCATTTTAAACAACATACCAAGCTTTCAAAGAGTACTGATTGATGAGTAGTCATTAACAGCTAAGCAATCAGTTGCAAATTACCAATAATGGCTGCCATTTCCAGTGGAGTTTTTCTTTACTCCATTCTCTGTTTTGATGCTAACAAATATTTATTGACCTTCTTTTAGCATGGGTAGACTCAGATAAAAAGATATCCCACTTAAGTATTTACATTTAAGGCAGCTGTATGGGGCCTCTGAGGTGGTTTGGTAAGGCAAGGGTGCCTGCCACCAAGCCTGAGTTCCATCTCCGAGATCAGTGTGTTAGAAGGAGAGAATCTACTCATGAAAGTTGTCCTCTGGCCTACATATGTGTACTGTGATATGTAGGCTCACGCTGTTAAGATAAGTAACAAAAATATGATAAAGGGGCTGGAGAGATGGTTCAGTGATTAAGAGTACCTGCTGGTCTTGCAGACCGAGATTCAGCTCCCAGCATCCATATACCAACTCACAACCATCTGTAATTCCATTTCCAGGTGATCTGACTCCCTCTACTGGTGTTCTCAGGTACCAGGGACACACATGTCCCCCCCCATTCACACACATAAGGGTTTTTTTTTGGGGGGGAGTCTAGCCCTGACTGTCCTGGAACTCACTCTGTAGACTAGGCTGACTTCAAACTCAGATCAGCCTGCCTCTGCCTCTCAAGTGCTGAAATTAAAGGCATGTGCCACCACACATACACATAAATTTTAATATATATGCATATACCATGCACATATTGATATATATGTATATACTTACAACATTCATATATGATATATTGTAGCGGTAACGCCCGCATTACCGATACCCATTCTCCATGTCCGAGCAAAGGGCTGCGGATTAAAAATAGAGACAAGAGACAGCGAGTCATTCGCCATGGCTGAATGCCGAATGCCCTTTATTGAAAGAGGGAAGAAACCTTAAATACAGGCTTACAACACAAATGGAGGATCCTCGGAGGGCAAAAGTCCGCTACCAATGGTCTACATTCTAGACCCAATGTTCTACATTCTTGCATCTAAGTTGTTTACACCAAATACTGGATGCATCTAAGTTGTTTACACCACATACAGGATGTAGGAACAAAGAACTTCAGCTCTCCGGTGATCCTTAGGTGAGAAGGAGACCGGCAGGGAATCTGAATAGGGAGGACATCTGGTCAAGGTCAGCAAGCAAGGCGGCAGCCACTCACAGTCGGGGGCCAGGGCCCATGGCGCCCACAATATATGTATATATATATCAGTTTTTAAGAAGCTATTTGTATTCTGGCTGGTGTAGTGATATGGCATGCACCCCAAAGGGGAGAAAAGCCCAAGGTGTCCATACAGTGACATGTTGATAAATGCCACTTCTGCAAAGATGAAGTGTCACACAGGACATGCAGGATGTTTGGCCTCAGTTGCTTGGGGTTGCCCACTACTTCCACTGCCCGTAGGGTGCCTTCCGGTGTTTCCGTGGTAGCCCATGTGAAACGACATCTGTGGAACACTGATATTGGTGCAGAGTTGAGACTCCGTGATAAAGGGCTTGCTTAGCACACTCAAGACCCTGCGCCTATTCCATCCTCAGCACTGTGGGGTGTGTGTGTGTGTGGGTGTTTGACATATTGATATCAGTTCTGTGTAAACATTATCTACAGCCATAGTTCAGGAAACATGCAGGGCTTCAGAACTGACTGGGCTTCAGGGGCAGAGCCACACTGTGAGTCACGGCACCAGACGGTGTCTGCTGTTGGTTCCAGATTTTATAGTTCCTCCCGCACATCCTTTTCCTACAACCAATGTGAATTAGCATCTTTGTAGACAGAAGGATCCCAGAGAGTCTGTTTAGGAAGAAAAAAAAAAATCCAAGCGTGCTCAAGCTTCATTTTCTCTACGAAGTTCCCCCTCAGATTTCCAAAACCGCCTTGTGCCTCCCCGCTACCTCCCAGCTTGCCTTGAGCGCCTGTCTGTCCATACCACTCATGTCTCATCCCAGCCAGCTCAGTGCGGACCACATAGCAAGCCCTCACTCGTGACAAATTAGCGGGCTGTTGAACGCACTTCAACAGCCTGCATGAGAGCAAATTAACTGAGCGTCCCTGGCCCCAGCACAGTTACTTAACCTCTCCGGACCTGTTTTGTCAACTGTATCTCACAATGTTGCTATGGGCATTAAACTCCTGTGCCCAGCACATCATGAACATGTAATGGATGTTAGCTACAGTTATCACCAATCCCAAGCATGCTCCAAACATGTTCACCAAGCAAAGGACAGAGCACGCCTATGGCAGAGAATCAGATGTCAAGGACACCCTGTAACACCGGGGCCCGGATGCACGGATGCTCTTTATGGTTTGTCTCTTGCAAGATCTCAAAGTCCTCTGGATGATCAGCAACAATTTTTTTTTCCACAGGAATTCTTTGACATAGGGTGACACAATCCACTGCTGTCAGTGTAGAGGGGACTGAAGGACCTGATCAAGGTTACTTACTTGCTGGCTCAACCACAGGCTAGGAATAGAAATTGGCTCCTGCAGCCCCCCTTTGTCTCAGCAGCTTCCTCCCTGTGCGGTTCTGGCAAAGATAAAGCACTCAGGAGTGACGGCCACTGGAGGGACGGTCAAAGAACCGCATCCGGGAGTCGCCGCTCAGCCTCAGCTGCCTTTCAAATCCATCCTCCCGCAAGAGGGTTTACCAGGGACCCGGGGATGCGGCTCAGTGCCAGAGAAGTCGATAACACGACAGCACCATGCTCCAGGCTCCCATCTGAACACACACACACACACACACACACACACACACACACACACACACACACGCGGGAGGCTGGGCTGTCTCTCCAGCAGCATAACTGCCCCTCTGACTAGGACCCTCTGACCTCCTTCACCTAGGCTGCCAAGGAAACAGAGTCCGGTGTTTCTGGGGTGCCAAAGAAAGGCTCTGCCATACTCTTGACCTCAGTCAATGTCTGCATTCCCCCCCTCCCTCTCACCCCCCTCTCCCCCGTCACGGGAGTCACACAGCTCCTTGGCTGGGCCTTGGACGGAACCCACAACTCCCTCTACTGCTTCCAGAGCCGGAAAGCGTGCTCTGGAGCCAGGCCCCTGCCCGAGCATCCAGGGACTAAGTTGGCAACAGCTCTGTTGAGAGCTGCAAAAGCAGTCAAGTTCAGGGAAAAAACAGAAACCCTGAAGAGAAAACCCCCTAACGGAGCCATCGGAAGCCCAGCCTGGTGTGCACATGTGTGTTTGCAGACCTCCCTCTGCCCTGACTCTCAGGTTACTCCCAGCCTCTTGCTTTTACAATTAGAACAGTGAATTATTCATGGCGCACCATACTGCTTCCAGAGTCTCCCAGGAGCATGCAGAATGTTACCACCCAAGGAGTCTGCTGCCAAGTCGCTGGGACAATGGGTGTGGGAGACATAAGCAAGTGGACAGTGACCCAAGCTGGGGCTCCTAGCTTCACCAGTAGAGACAAAGGGAGAGTCTAAATGGCCTGAGTCCCTAGAGGCAGGGATCCAGAATGGTGCGGTGCGAAGTGTGAGAGCACAAAACCAACAATGGAGCCCAGCATGAGTTTCATTAGATTCAAGGAGCTATCAAAGGGAGGGATGCAGCCTAGCAGAACACTTGCCTTACCTGTATACAGTGTACGCAGCTTAAGCCCATGCCCTGGGACCTTACACAAAGTGGGGCTGGGAAGAGAGAAGCCTTTAACACTAGATGTACTTTTTGGTTTTTCTGATACAAGACCATATATATATATATATATATATATATACATACATACATATATGGCTGGGCCTCAAACTCACTGTGTAGCCAAGAGAGACCTAGACTTTCTGATACTGAGACAGCTTCCTGATCCTAGCAGATCCTGATCTGCCTCCACCTCCCGAGTGGTGGTAGGATTACAGGAGTGTGCCACCATGCCTCATTTATACTGTTTTGGGGATCAACTCCAGGGCTCCATGCATGCTGGGCAAGCACTCTACCAACTGAGTTACATCTCAAGCCCTGCCTTTTGATTTTGCATACCAGCAGGAAAACAAATTCGATCGCTGGCAAGATATATCCTCATTTCATAGACATTAAAATGTGCTCTTTACAATTGATAGCCTAGCTGGGCGATGGTGGAGCGCGCTTTTAATCCCAGTACTAGAGACGGAGGGCAGAGCAGGCAGAGCTCTGCATCCCAGGACAGCCAGAGCTACTTAGAGAAACCCTGTCTCAAACAAACAAACCAGTAAATGAATAATAGAATTGATAACATAGTATTATTAAATGAATCTCATGTTTATCGGGTTCTTGCTCTATGTTGCAAGACAGTTTCCTATGTCCCTGCCTCCTGTATCATTGATAACGAGGAAGAATAGCAGGGGTTAGATGGATTTAGTGTACGTGAGTATGATTTTTGATTTTTTTTTTTTTTTTTTTTTTTTTTTTTTTTTTTTTTTTTTGTTTTGGTTTTTTCGAGACAGGGTTTCTCTGTGTAGCTTTGCACCTTTCCTGGAACTCACTCTGTAGCCCAGGCTGGCCTCGAACTCACCAAGATCTACCTTCCTCTGCCTAATCTCTTTAAAGGGATTGAAGGTGTGCGCCACCACCGCCCGGCGATTTTTGATTTTTGTCGAGACAAAGTCTTGCTATGTAGCTCAGGCTGGCCTCAAACTCTGGATCTGCCTCCTTAGTGCTGGGATTACAGAGTTTGCATCACCACACTTGGCTCAACTGTGTGTACATATGACTTATTTTAGGGTGACAATGTCAATTTCCCTCTCCTGTTTCCCATGTCTGCCAAACAATTTAGGTTCTTGTTTTTTTTT